GGCACCCATTGTGCACACAGCTTTCTGTAACCCAAAACTTCAGCCAAAATATTGCTCACACTGCCTAACGAAATCCCTAGGGCTTCTACTAAATCTCTCTCGGTTAATCGACGATCTTCCAAAACCATATGCTGTATTTTTGCTACGATTTCTGGTGTTGATGCACTTTTTGGACGCCCTTCACGTGGATCGTCTTCAAGACTCGTACGACCACGTTTAAATTCAGCAACCCATCTTTCTACTGTTCTGATTGAAGGTGAAGAGTCCTTATACACTTTTAACAATCGTTCATGAATTTGTTTTGGTGCTACACCTTCCAAAAATAAGAATTTTATCACTGCACGATATTCGATTTTTTCCATCGTAAAAAAATACAATGACACATCGACTTTGAACAGCTGCAAATATACAATGAGTTGACGGATCTACTTGAAACTTGACACGTGTTTATGAAATAGTAGTACTATTTATAGAATAATAAAGTGATGCTCCTAGTAGCGCCACCTCTTATCGAACGACAAAACTTATTGAACAACCTGGTATATATGTGACATAATTTTTTTCCTCTCTTGTTATTTCTCTAAAATTTTAATTGCTTCAAATTTCTAAATTCTCTAAATCAAAACAATTTATTTTTCAAGGTGTATTTTGATTTTTCATAGATAATCAATTTTATGCCATACATTATAATTTTCTATCATTGTAGAATAAAATAGTGCAAATTATGCAAGAAAGTCTCAAAAAGTATGCTCTTTCATCACAAGTTCATTTCAAAATGATAATGGAGGTATAAACAGTGTTGAATGAATTTCTGTGCCAATATTTTGTGAGAATACGACAGGTGTTACAATGTTACTCGAACCCTTTTATTGTCAGGACGTTAAGGCCCGCTTACTTTGTTGAGGGATGGTGTTTTAAAGTGTCGCCCAGATCATGCGATCCTTCTGATATCAGGACCTGACATTACCTAGGGAAGGATTTCACGCCCTAACATGTGATATTATGATCTATATTTAGAACTGAGGGCTGTTACTTATTGAGTGGGAAGAGTCGCGGGTAAGTTCAATCATAGTGGTTCAAATGTTCATACTCAACAAAGGGATTAAATAGGTTTCACAGATAACAAAAGATTTAATTAGATAAACACAAGTGAGGAGATACAAAAAAATAACCTATCATTATATCGAGGCCTAACTACATACGCTTCTAAACGCAGAGAGAGAGTTTACAATTAGTTAAAATAATAATACCTCAGTCGATAGATAGAGCTTCTCTTCTTATAAGGAGCATGACTTGATGAATGCTGGAAAGGCAGAATGGAAAGGCTTCTCCTTCTATTAGTATTGCAGGTTCAAATTGCATGGACTGCCTGTTGGTTATGGCAGGTCCTTTATGTTGACTGCCTGTTAATATGGCAAATCTCTTCTTCTGTAGACTGCCCTGAACTCATGGATTTTTTCTCTTTTACTCTAAGTTTCCACAAATCTGATTTTAGTATTCTGATCATCTGACAAAAGGGACAGATGTTCGTCAGATATAAGCGATAACAACTTTCTAAGGGAAATTCTATTTCCTTTTCCCACGACAAAATACAACTTTTGTCTATTTTATCACTAAAATATTAAATTTGAATTATTAATCAAGCAGGTAAATCTAAGACTGTACCAGAACATGATAAATAAAACAAATAAATTTTCAAATAAATTGGTCTCTACTCTCTCATTTTCACAATTCTGTGGATTATTTTAGAGTCAAACATGAGCTTAAAATCCTTGACAAACATTTTTCAAATTCTGTTTCATTTTTGAGATTGGCCTTCCAAAAATCATCACATACCTCCTTTAAATCTCCCTTCAAATGCTTTATTTGAAAATTTACTTCTCATTTATTACATGAAAATTGAACTTATTTTAATATGAATGTAGAACTTCGATTGTTTTTGCAAGAAGTAAATTTTCACATCGTTGGAGATTTATTGAGCAAGTTTATAAATTATTCTGTTTAATTTTATAAAAAAATCAAAATGTTATTTGAAGAAAATTTAAATTGAAAACTTTTTGCTTTCCAATTATTTTTTTTACTGTAAAGTGGATGAATACTGAAAAATCTTAAAGTGGATTAAAAAAAAAAAAAAGATTATATTTACATCATTATAATAGGGCCTACTTGGGCAAATTTTTTCTGTTTGTTGAGAGAAGCATAAAAAAATAAATTACTTTAAAAAGATGACAACTTAAGTTTTAATACCTTGGCAAGAAATTTAAAATGTACCTTTTTGGCAGGCCAGATTGTGAAAACAATAGAATTTGAAAAGGTTTATAGTGAATTTGAAGTTCATTTTTGATCCTAGAATCTGTCCCTAAAATATTGGCATGGAGTTCAATACACCCTGTATATTATTTCAAGATTTTTTGATTTTCATATGTATTTTAACAGTTGACTTCACCAATGAAAGAAAACTCTGTCTTATGCCATCTGTTAAAAATTTTAATTGCATTAAAATCTTAAATTCCAAGAAATTTACTTTTAACATTTAAAAAAATTTTCCTATACTAATCAATTTAAATATTTAAAAAATTTTAAAATAATTTAATCAAAATAACAGACTGTATTATTTGTATATAAATATATAAATGCTATAACTTTTGCAGCTAGTAAGCAATGCTATCCACTTTCTGTCATCTGTTGCTGACAGGCCTCATTATAAACATCTGTTTGAAGATCCAAATATATTAAGTTCTATCTGTGAAAAAGTTATCATTCCAAATATGGAATTTAGAGGTATGATAAGTTAAATGATGAAATATCTTATATAGATAAAGCTTAATTTGTTTTTGTTAGTTTATTATTTATTCTAGCTGTAATTTAGTTTTCAATAAAGTTATTAAAATTTATTAAATGAAATGAATTAAATATATAATTCTTTGGTTCTAAATTTAAATCAACAAAAATTGATTTTCTTTATTTTTAATAATTGTGAAGATGTCGGACATTTTTTATTGAAATGTTTGATAACTCAATTTATCATGTCACTAATATAAATACTTAAATTTCATGTGGCAATTTTAATAAATTTAACATTTAATGAAAATAAAAGCTGTATTCAAAAGATTCGGTGTTTAAGCAATAAAGAGGCTCACTTGGCTTTTATTATAATTTTTGTTAAATCTGATTTGGTAAAATTATATATTTATTTAGGATTTAATTTAAAAATAAAAATTAATTTTTCTATAGAATCTGATGAAGCATTATTTGAAGATAATCCTGAAGAATATATTCGACGAGATATTGAAGGATCAGGTAATTTAACTTTTTCAATAGCTAAAACAAATACAGATAGATACAATTGTAAATGTGTACAGATGGCTGAATAGCTGTGATGATATAGGTTCCAGCCTGCCATTGATGGAACTTGGGTTTAAATTTAGGTTAGGAACCATGGTATCTTTCATGTACAGTCTCTTCTGGGTCTCATAATGGGTTCAGCTACTCTACTATGGGCCTTACTGAACTCAATACAGGCACAAATATGTGGAGAATGTAAATATTTTCAGCAGAACAATAAAGAAAGCAATTCTTTTTGGTTCTATTGGTTATATTTACATAACTTAATTCAAATTTTGAAGAAAGTTCTATATAAATTAAAGTTTTGTATTATGATATAAAGTAATTAAATTTTAAGTAGAAGTAATAAATATTTTTAAATTTTTATTGTCTATGAAATTACTTGTTCTTATTAGATAATATATTTAAATTTTTGGGATGTTATTTTATATCCTATAGTGTGATATTGATATAGTATTATTTAATGAAATGTTCTGATGATTTTTAATAATGTAATAAAGGAATGGAGTGAGTTAGTTATATTTAAAATTTTTGACAGTGTAATATTGTTTTGTGTATTAATCAATATAAAAGTTTAAGTAAAAAGTTAAACTAACTTTTAATTTTTAAATATATCAGATGTAGATACTAGAAGGCGAGCAGCATGTGATTTAGTAAAATCCCTATCAAAGTTTTTTGAAGCAAAAATATCTGAAGTTTTTTCTCAGTATGTGCAAGCGATGTTACAGGTAACATAATTTCAAGTAAAATAGGCATAATTCATATTTTTAAGTTAAATTTTTCACGAAAATGTAATATATTTTTTTGAGTGTATGTAAGAAAATTTTCAAAATATTTTTTTCTGTAATAGTTAACTTAAAATAGAGATTAATTTGCTATATTGTATTCTTTAGAAACTTCAATATACAAAATAACATATAACTGGTAATCAATTTTGGATTAATAGAATATAAGTTCTATTATGTTTATTGATCTTAGATAAATAATGTCACAGAGTGATTTAGTGAAAAAAGGCTTTCATACTATATAAAAAGTTGTTTACATATAAATTAAGTTCCTTTTAGTGAAAAATAAAGTAAAATTATCTAATTTATGTGTTTATTTACTTATTTATAAAATTTTGCTTTACATATTTCAGTGCTATTCTTCAGATCCTTGTAATCAGTGGAAAAACAAAGATGCTGCTATTTATTTGGTGACTTCAATGGCTGTAAAAGGACAAACATCAAAAGTATATTTAATTCTTCATCATTATTAAAAATTCTGTTTCTATATTAGTTTAAAATTTTAATTTTGAAATACAACAATTATTATTCCAGCATGGTATTACTCAAACAAATGAATTGGTGAATGTTGTCAATTTCTTTAGAGAATTCATTCTTCCAGATTTACATAAAGCTAATGGTAGGTTTTTACTATAGATATAATTTTTAACTCTCCTGATAATGTAAGATTTGCATTATTTTTTTTATGTATAAATGTTGCAGTATATTTAAAAATGATTACATTGGCAACATGGCCACTCAGTAAGACATTAATCTATTGTGAAGAGGATCTGGATTTTCTGAGTAGGCCAATGCTCCAGATACTTTGTGTATCATGGGCTGCAGGTTGGGGCATAGTTCTTCATTCATACTGTTTTTACCCTTGCTTCTGTAATAGGTGTCAATGTGGATAACCATATTGTATAGCCTATGATGGTCTTAATCAATATAGTATTTTATATATGCATAATTTAAGTAAAATTATATAAATGTTTTTTGGAGCCATAATACACAATAGATGATGATTAAAATTTAAAATTATAATTTATTTCAGTTAATTATTTTAATGATTATAAGTGATTATTTTAACAATAATCTGTTATAATCTTTGAAAATTATGTATTAATTGAATAGAAATGTAACCACATTGTTAGGTGAAATTTATTTTTAAAATCATTATATAATAAGCTCTATTTTATAATATTTTTTGTATACATAAATTCTTTAACAAACAAAAAATTCCTTTTACACTTTTTAATATTTTGATAAATTATTTTTGTTTTTTAGTAAATGAATTTCCAGTTTTAAAAGCTGATGCAATCAAATATGTTATGATATTTAGAAATCAAGTAAGTAATTATTATATAAATACATTATTATATTTGTAATAATGATTAGAATAACAGATTTTTATAAACAAAATCTGTAATTGTATTTAATTGGTTATGTTATGTTTTTATACTAAAACTAGCAGATGAGCCCAGCTTGGGCAAAAAGTAACAATAGCAACAATTAAGATTATTAGATTATAGTCAATCTTACCCATTTTCACCGGGTGCAAGAATTAGGTCTCATTCTTCCGAGACTAATTAGAGAATTTATACATGTTCTAAAAATATGTTTGATTCTCTGCAAAAATGCAAAAGTCTGCATGTAAAATAGTACAGTAAAGCTGAGTTCTTTAAAATAATCCTTAACCCTCTCCTTCGTTGGGATAATTTCCGAAAATTCATTCTTAGTGTACATTCTCAAGGCTTATTCTACTAAAATACATTAAAAAAAAAAAAAGATTAAAATCATTATTGAATTTTAACTTAAGTCTTTAGTATTCAAAAAGATTTTTTTATTTAAATAACCTATACAATTAAAAATAAATCAGAAAATTTTTTATTATAATGGAGAATTAATTTACTTGATGATAACTCTACTTGAATTATATGGTTGATTTTAAACTCTAAAATCTAAAAAAAACTTGTTTGGAACTTTATATTTCCAATTCAATATTTCAAATTTGGAACAAATTCAAATACTCATTTGAATTTGTTTATTTTGGATTTATTGTTTTTGGGGAAGTTCTCATTGTTTGCAAAAATCTGTGCTAGGTATTCAAATTACCCAAAAGGTGGAAATGATTAAAATATTTATTAATTTCCAAAATGTA